TAAAATTTTGAATTTTGTTTTTTGTATTAAGAATTATCGCAAAATTACATGGTATGGAAATATTTCATTATTGTTGTCCATTTCAAAATGATCTTCAATTTGAAATAACATCGATTATTAAAGTATAAAATTAACGACAAAAAAGAAATCTTCTTATTTTTGTTTTATTATTTAGGCAGGAACAGTTGAATGGTTTGATCGAATGGTAACACAAATAACAAAACCAAGATTACGAGTGAGTTTTATTTCAATAATTATATGAAAATATTTTTGTTCTTCTTTTATTAGTCGGATGAAGATACATTGAGGAATACAAGTGAATTAGTTTATGTTATAATTGCTGATGGTAAGTTAATTTTTAAATCATTACAGTAGTCAAAGAGAGCATTGACGAAAGAAGTCATCTCATATAAACTTTTCTATAAGTCTTACTGCAAGTATAGATTTATATTAGCTAAGCTTCTTACTATCAAAATTTTTGTTACATCACCACCCATTTTTTTCTGGAATTGAGATTAATCCTACGTCAGACTCTAATTGATTAGCATTGATTGTATATTTCTTAATGATGTATTAGAAATGCTTTTTCTTTGAATATTAAGCATATCTAATAAAATTATATCAGTTAAATTGAACTAATGATATTCGTGAATTAATAATGAGAAGTAGATAAACAAAAATATAGAATCAATTTATACGTCAAGAGTGATGATATATATATATATAGAAAAGCGGGTTTAATTTAATCCGTCTTATCCATAGACAAAAGTCCTTCCTTTTTCCTCTACTCTTTTTATATCACATTCGTTTGATCTTAAATGAATACTAAGCTGCTCTTTTGGTGTCTATATGATCATGATAATTAAGAAAAATGAAAAAATAAAATACTTTTGATAACCTTCAACGTTATCAATATCTTATTCAAAATAAAGACATGAATCGATTCTTTATTGAAATAAATTGTATCCTACATTAAATAATTTTACCATAAAAATAATTAATAATAGAATAAAATTTTTCTTTTTCAGCTCATTCAGCTGTTAAATATTATAATCCAATATTTGAATCGTATGTTGATTATTTAAACTAAAAATATTTAATCTGAAATTTTCTTTCTTATTAGTATCGTTAAAATGTCATTTTATAATATATCATTTAAAAAAATCGATGGAAAAGTAATTAAAAACAAAAGTCTTTAAAATAATATATATATATATTGCTCTTTTCTTTTTAAAACAAAAAAGTTAATGGATATTGTTATAAAAGCTCTTGAAGAAGAAGTAAGATTTTGTATAATTAATTTGATCAAAAAGAAGAAAAAAGAATTATTCTAGCTCGGTGATCAAATTCATCAATCTCCATCAAAATTATTAGAAAATAAAGAATCAGATGCAGCTGATATTCTTACATTTGCAGCATCAGCTGAACAAATAAGTTTATCATTATTTGAACTTTATTTATCACTTCATGAATTAGCAAAATATAGAATTTATGTTAATGAAACGTTTGTATTAAAATATTTTTCTTTTCTTATTCTTAATAAAAATTTTTTATTTAGTGATCGAATAAATTTAAAAATCACACAATATCATAATTATTTTGGTGCAGCTGTTAAAAAATGGTTATCAGTTGCTCGAAATAAAATTCTTTATCGAATTGAACGTTCAGTTGAAAAAGATAAAGTCGAAGGATCTACTACAACAGCATATAATAATAAATTTACAAATTCATCATTAGATGTATCAAATTGCTTTAGTCAAATATCACAATTTTGGCGACGATTAGGTAAATAGTGTAGTATACGAAAGATGCGGATCAGAGTTTGGAACCCTTTCAGCTAGTGACGTAACCAGGGTCGGGCTTGATTGGGGAAAGAGACATAACGCACCAACGTTTTTTTACGATTTCCCGACTCATAAAAACATACAAAATCTTCAGAATGACAAAACTTTAAACAAGCAAAATATTCTGGTGGCTGTTGATGTATAAACTATTCTTCTCTCATAATAGACATCCAACCCACACCCACTCTGAGTGAGTGTCACTTTAACTTTGCTTTAAAAACTTAAAGTTAAAGTACTTACTTTAAACTTTAAGTACTTTAACTAATAAAGTTAAAGTGACACCCCTACTCACTCACCTACACTCTTTACGGACGCTCGGTAAAAGTGGTAAAAAAACCAATTCCAGACACTCCAACAAATTATCGGGTGTCCGAGACACCTAGTACGTCATGTCTTTGTCCCCGTGACTGGATACCGTCAAATCACAGGATCTTTTCGCCCAACCACCCATTTTAGTTTTGTAAGCCAAATTTTCTTGTGCGCCCTACCACCCCACAGGCATCGCTCGCTGTCGCCTAACCACGGTCAAAACCCTGGCTACGCTACTACTTTCAATCTCATCCGTATCTTTCGAGATCCTGTAATAAATAATTTCATTTTTTTCAATTTTAGCTTGGCCAGATATAATTAGTTCTATAACATATTTAATAAAAATTACTGAAGATATGGCAAATGCAACGCGTTTATATGCAACATTAGTTGAGGGAAAATTAAATGCAAGAAAATTTTATGAAACAAATGATTTATCATATTATACACATGAAGTAAAATAGTTTTTTGAAAAAAATCAAATCTATATTTGTTTTCTAGCTTTCATTAACTGTGAATGATATTGAACGTATACGAGAATCATTTAAAACATTACCAATTGAATTATCTTATGATAAATTATTAGTCGCAGCAGAAAAATTTCATCCAATTGCTGTTGTTGATGAATATAGAAAAAAAATTGAAACAACTGTTGCAATGTGTAGTCAAGAAATAACAGATAGAATTTATCAAATATTAAGTAAAGTTGTTACAAATGTGGAAATGGAATTGAAACAAAATTTATTTCATATTATCGAAGCACCGGAACTTATTTCATTTCAAGATGCAACTCAACCACTTTTTACATTTCTTGAAAAAAGAATTTTTCCATATAAAGAAGTTTTAATTAGACAAAATTTTACAAGGTAATTTTATTCTATCATAACGATGAAACAAATATCGTTTAATAATAGATTATTGGAACTTGTTTGGTCTGTTCTTATTGATCAACTTTTATCAGAAATTGAAAAAGCTTCAACAGTTGTAAGAATCAAATTATTCTATAAAATTTATTTCTTATCTTTAATGAAATCTTAGCGATCAACATCATCTTATACACGCTTAACAAAAGCTCTTGATTCTTTTGTCGATTATTTTAATTCCGATGAACAATATTTACCAAAAGATTTGCTCAAAACTGATAAATACAAAGTAAAAATCAAATTTGTTACATAACAAAATTCAAATTCTTTATTTTTTTAGTTAATAAAAAAATTATTAAAATATCACACGACTGATACACATTCATTAATCAAATTATATTATCAAGTTTGTTGATAAAAACACAAAAAAATTTTCTTAATAAATATTTTTTTGTAGGAAAAATTACATGAACAAGAACGTGCTGTTATTATAAATCAATCTTCGAATTTACCTGATCTAGGAAAACTTTATTGTCGCGCATATTATCATTTAAAAGAAGAAACATTATATGTTGAAAGTAAAGATCATAGAATTAGAAAATAAATTAATAAAAATTTTATTTTATAGTTATATCATGTAAAAATCTTAAACCTTGTGATTCAAATGGTTTAAGGTATTTTAGATTTTATTTTGATTTTAAACGAAATTCTATTTTATTTTAGTGATCCATATGTTGAAGTTCAGTTATGTCCGAAATTTTTATATCCTCATATTGAAAAACAACAAACATCAATTGTGAAAAAAACGTTAAATCCATCATTTAATGAAAAATTTGAATTGTAAGATGAAATTTCTCGGTTTGAATCTTTAAATTTTTGTTTTATTTTAGTCGTTTAACAGAAAAAGAATGTAATTTATCTGGAGGTGTGATTCATTTTACTGTTATGGATCATGATTTAATGTGGTCAAATGATTTTGAAGGTGAAGCTTTTCTTGAAATATCGAAAATATCAGGAATTCCACATGAATCAAATAGTGATACGAGACCTTTAGATGAATTAAAACAAATTGAACTTTCATTAACACATCCAAAAGGTTTGAAAGAAAACAAATTATTTAAAATTATTTATTTATTTATTTATGATTTTAGCTGTGCGAAGTCGTATCATTGAGATATTAGAAGTACGTGTATCAGATAAAACGGCTACTGAATTCGTTCGACGACGACGAGAAACAGAAAATCAATAAAACTAAGAACTTTTTTTCGCTAATCCTTTTTTTATGTAAAATATATAAATAAATACCATTCATCTATTAAATATAAGATTTTTTCAGTTGACAGAAATACACTAGAACGAGATAAGCAAGGAGTGAAATATCGATATTTTATAAAGTTTGACTAAAGATTTTCGAAACAATGAGTTGTAATTACATAGTCATTAAATACCTATCTCACAATGAAATTATTTGCTTTTTCTCTAAAAGAACTGTTCCTACCCGAGAGAAGAAACTTGAAAGATCGATTGTACCCATGCGATGAAAATCGACGGGTTGATTAATTGTACGCTGTATTTCGATAAAATCTTAAAAATCGTTATTAATCGTTCAAACCGAACCGATTCCAAATACATGGGTAGATTTAAAATCCTTGATTAAATCTTATAAAATATCGTTTTTCTCGAAACAAATCCACATAGAATAGCATAATTCTTACCTATAAATACTGAAGTGCTACACTTCTCTCTTTATACAGATAGGTATGCTCATATAGAAGTTATTACCTAATAAAACAATGTTTGTATGAGTTTTATGAATCAAAAGGAATTCAATTACAAGTGACATCTTTTGAATACCTTTCAATATTAATCATAAACTATGAAATGAAAAAAAAACAGGATTGATTTTTTTTTAAATAACTACATTTATTCGTTTGATTCTACGAGACGTGTTTTTCTTCGTTTAAATCTAAATAAAAGCAAGAAAATGATTATACTATTCATTCGTTATTTTTGGGCAGTAATTGTCCATAAATTTTGTATATTATTAGCTGGTATTCGTATAAATAAAATTCTTCGTTCAACATCCTATCAAGTATCATACAAACGTCTTATATTGCATGATTTATCGAAATTTAGTCGAAGTGAATTTTGGCCATATGCCGAACATTTTTATGGTGCGACAAAAAATGCAGAAGCCTTCCATGAAGCATGGTTACATCATGTTCGTCATAATGATCATCATTGGGAACATTTTGTCGAAGATTATCCATCAGTTTCGAAAATTCTTTGGAAAAATGATAAATTAAATAATTTAATTATACATGAAATGCCTGATGATGCAATTTTAGAAATGGTTGCGGATAATTTAGCTGCAACAAGATCATATGAAGGTTATTGGCCTAATGGAGCAAAAAAAGATGGATGGTCATGGATGACGGAATCATTCGATCACTATCGATTACATCCAATAACAAGATTAAAATTCACTGCTTTTTTATGTGCATTAGGTTATGCAAGAGTTTTACCACAAGAATTCGATTGGAAAACGATTGGAAAAGCTAATATATCAAATGAAGAGAAAAAGAAACTTTTAAAACTTCAACAAATTGCACAATTAAATAATTAATTCTGTTTTTGTTCGATATTTTATTTATACTACTGACTTAAATCTTGAGTAAATATAATCAAAAATAGATCGATTAAATTCATACAAATATATCATTTAAAATATACATTTACTTCGTTTCTTAACTATTTTTTGCATTGGAACTAAATAAGTTTCAATTAAAATAAATCTCTTATTATAAAATCACTTAATCATACCTCGATTTATATTTTTATTTAAACTTCTTTCTATTTGTCTATTATCATTCAATAATTGTCGCATATTACGTAAAGCATTCGCTGATTTTTCTTGAACATATGGATCATCATCTCCGATTAATTTAAGTAGATCCTATTAAATAATTCAATAATAATCTTTTCAATGAATATTTCTTACTAATGCTATACCAACATCATGTAAAATAATACAATTTGATGGAATAAGAGAAAGATCATATATAGCTTTAGTTAATGATTTCGAAAGTTCGTTATCATTTTGTTTAAAATAATTTTTCAATGCCATAATTACATGTCGATTACCAAATTGTTGTTGATTTTTTGGTAAATTTAATAAAGTAGCTATTACATTACAAAATGATTTACTCAATTGAGGATTATCCTTTTTGTTCGAAAAAGAAATATAGATTATTTTTATTTATTATTAAACAAAACAAACTAGAGAATTTAATTGCGAAATTTTTGAAACAATTCCAAGTTCAGTAAATATTTCTGAATTATATTCATCTTGAACAATTTCAGCAATAATTCCTAAAGTAACTTCAAGTAATTGAATATTTTCTGTTGATAATGTATTTAAAATAAAATAAAAGATCCCATCAAATGAACGTATTAATTCACCATGATTCTTAAAAAACAAAATTTATTTATTTATTTATTTCCTATTCAACAAACTTCTATTGATGCAAGACAATTCCTAATTGTCCATCCAGCAGCTATTTTAATTGGTAACAATGCTAATTTAAATAATGTCCATAATTCTTGTAAACCATTATTATCAATAATCATACTTTAGAAAAAATAAATAATAGATGAGTTTTTGTTTTTCGAAAGAATATACTTCGCTGCTTCTTTATCTTTTGCACATTGTTGTAAAATAAATAAAATATTTAATTGTATATCTGAATGATTTATATTTTGTAAATAGTAAATAAAATCTTGAAAAATATTTTCTTGTTTAAATAATTTTATTGTTTGAGAAAGTTTTGTTAATTGATTTAAAGATTGAATAATCCGTAATAAATAAAATGAATTATTCGAAGAATTTTTTAAAAATTTCATCATATTTAATATAATATCATTCGAAATATTTTCATTTGTTCGAATAAATTCTGTTAAAATATTTATTATTGAACAATATATAGATGAATCATTGGTTTGTTCTAATATATCTTTTAATTTTTTAAAACCGTATTGATAGATAAATTGTAAATGATGAATATCAAATGAAAGATAATAGAAAGATTCACAAATTACACGTGTTAATTCAATATTTGTTACATCGATTAAATTTATTAAACTAATTATTAAATCTTTATCCATCATTTGCATACGAAATATTGGCTAAAAAGATATTTGGACTTAGGTAGAGTTTTTAGAAATTGGGAATAATATCTGTGTTGATGTTTTAACTCGAGAAAAAAATAAGATTAATTTATTGAATAGAAAAGAGACATTTCGCACCAAGTTTCCATTTCGATTTCCCGACATATGGGATCTTCGGAATGACAAAAAGGGTGTGAGTGTATAAGCCATTCTTCTCTTATAGTACACCGACGCACCCACACCCTGTCCCGGACACCTAGTACGAAATGTCTTTGTCCCTTATAGAATAAAGTATGTAGAATTCAGTAATAGAACTACTATCGGAGTTTTAAAAAAAGGCAGTCAGACAAAATGCATACAGCTGGTTTAGGTAAATTGGCTGTCCTGAAATGCAAGTCAACTGTATTGTTAATGCAAAATAGAATAACGAATGAAGAGAAAGATGAACTCTCCTAGTTTTTATATGATTTGAAAAAATCATCGAAGGGATAAAATTTCTCTTGCACAAAAACATTTCATTCCATTACCGGAATGTACTTTGTATATAAAAAATGGATTAATAATTTTATATCTATTTTGATTATAATAAAATATGTTATTTTTCGTATATTAGAAAGAAAAATAATTGCCAATTAAATCGTCCCTCATCTGCAAAATATTTCAATCATCCCTCGATCAATTTATCGGCTCATATAAACAGCAACAATACATTTTGTCCGTCTCTATAAAGAAATACGGGTATAAACCGGAAAATCATTAATGAAACTTTTTTTTCAATAGAGTCCAAAGTTCTCATTGATTATTTTCACGAGAAAAGAACTGTAACAATTTAAAATAGTAAATTAGTCTTATTCTTTATATAATTTATCTATTAAGAAAAGGTATATATGTCATTAAACTTTGAGACAAAAAAGAACTCTCTTACTATTTGAAGAAGAATAGCAAGTAATGAAATAAGTGTTATTGCTGAATTGTTTGAAATATTTAAAATAATTTTTAATATAATTTTTCCAATTCCATATCGAATACAAACATATTTATTCTTCTCTGATTTACATAATAATAAAAATACTTTAAATAAATTATCTTCAATAAAATTTTCACTTAATTCATCTAATAAAGTTATCTAAAATACAAGAAAAATTTATTTATTCGATATTTAACTTTTTCTTTACCAATTTACTAATACCACCAAAACGTCTAATAACTCTTCTTGCTCGACGAAATGAAAGTATTTTAAGTAAAATCGAACAACTTTCTTCTATACCAATATGATCTAAACACATACTATCAATAATCGTTATTATTCCACCTAATCGAAATATTTCATAGGCAAATGAAGAATTTTGACATGCATTTTCAAGAACATATAAAGTATTTAACTAAAAAAAGACTAATCTTGTTTTCTATGAAAATTTTCTAATATACTTTAAGATCACGATCGAACATTTCAATAAAATTAAGCATAACATTAATTGTTAATGAATCTTTAAATGCTAAAAATGCACATTGATCTTGTAAATTATAATCATGTAATATAGCTAATGAAAGAATTGTTGTACATCGACCTCCACTCTAAATATTTTTATTTAATTTAGAAAAAAAAACATTTTTTTTCTTGGACAAACTTTAACAAATCGAAGTAATTTTATTAATTGTTGATATTCAACAAGTTGTTCACGTGTAAAAGATGTTCGATCATCATTATTAAATAAACGTTCATCATCTTCATTGTTATTTATCTGTTCATTATCAGAATTTAATAAGATTTCTTCAGTACCATCATAGAAATATTCTTGATTTTTATTATTTATTAATTTGAAATATTCTTCGTTAGTTGATTTTTCACTAAACAATTTCAATTGTTTATCATCAATAATTTTCTATTTGATATTTTTACCCAGAAAATTTATCAATTTCTACAAATTCTTGATTATCAGAATGAATGGAAACATCTAATTTAAAAATATACAAAACTAATCTTTTGATTTTATAAAATCATATTTACTTTGAAATACAAATCCATCATCATGACTTGATCGACTCAAACCTCCATTACTACTAACACTCCATACAGCACCTTCGTCGTCATCATTTTCATTACGATGTTTGGTACTACTATGACGACGTTCAATATGAGATTTTTCATTATTTATTTGATTATTACCAATAAAAGTATTGTTGGACATTTGTTCAAATTATAATACAATAGTTTGAATTACTTTTCAAGCGCGCAAAGAAAATATTTTTCAATATATAGTTCATCAATCAAAAAGAGTTATATTTAGACTATTATGTTCAATTTTTAATACAATAAATTCAAAACTAAATACAAATAAGATGCCAAATAAAGAATGACTTAAATTGTACTATAAATATCACATTTGTTTATTGTTTCATACAACGTGAATAAGTAGCAGTATCAAATACATCATGATTCATAGGACGATCAGATATGCTGATGCAATATCACTTATCTTTGAAAAGTTTTATTTTAATGTTGAAAATTCAGAGTCTGGGCATAGGTAAGAGTGCAATTAAATGAAAGGCCACCGTTTTTACTCACATTCACCCTTTGATAAAATATTTCTTGTTTTCTTATGTCTAGATAAGAGATAAAATGGTAAAAATCATCAGTTATCTTTCTTATAATTCTGAAATAAACTGAAAAAAACCATTTGGTAAAAAGCTTTCCTGGATTCGACGGATAGTCTTTTGCTAATGGCTTCTATCCATCGTTATCGCTGTTTTCCCTGAGTAAAGAAATGTGATAGTGGTAAGAGTAAAGCATTTGTTTTAGCCTTATCACGGAAGGATGTAACTCAGAGATTAAGATTACACCTTCGCTGACATCCACCCTTATGTTCATGCATAAAAATATATGTATCGATAAAATTTTGAACTACAACTCATCTAGTATATAAATAGATTCTGCTATAATTTGTCTGCAATAAGTCGTGAAAAGACTGAAAAATGAACTTATCCGAAGAAACAAACATATATAGATACAATATATGGATCAAACATGTTGTACAAAACTTTTTCATAATTAATGTATATTGAAAAACAGTTTATTTTCATATTAATAACTCATTAAGTATTATTCTTTACTATTTCTACTATAAATTATTCTAATCGATTCTAGAAAATCTCAGAAACATCATTTGATATTCCTGTCATATTACTAACACAAAGTAGATGTCACAATTCTACGTAACTCTAACAACTAGTACTCATTATTTTTCTACGTATGCTTTCGTTAATATTCTTTTCATAAAAAACCTTGATCTCAGAAAAACAACTAGTTAACTCAAATGGAATATCTGTATTGTATCTAAAGTAAATCATATTATTTCTGTATGAAATATTTTCTTCAATATAAATAATAATAATATCTAGTTTAGTTTTCTTATTGTAAAACTAATATTATATAAAATTTATTTTCCAAGTCATCTATTT